TGCCCCAGACGCTGCTGTGTGGCCCTGCCCACTGGTGAGCCCATGACGTGCCCCAGACGCTGCTGTGTGGCCCTGCCCACTGGTGAGCCCATGACATGCCCCAGATGTTGCTGTGTGGCCCTGCCCACTGGTGAGCCTGTGACGTGCCCCAGACATGACTGTGTAGCCCCCGCCTCCCCACTGGTTAGCCCATGGTTATGTGCCCCAGATGCCCCTGTGTCGCCTGGCCTCCTCATTGGTGAGCCCATGACGTGCCCTAGACCTTACTGTGCGGCCCCACCTGCCACTGGTGAGCCCGTGATGTGCCGCTCCTGGGCTCCCTTTCTCACTCTGGCCCGGGCATGGTAGTGGTAGTGGGTTCTCATCATAGGTGATCTCTGAGTTGTTTCTCCCTCCTCTGATGACTCTTTGCCTTTCCCAAGGTCCATGAAGCAAATTTTTGGCTTTTTGTTTTATAGATTGGTCCCTGATGGATCATATAACTTTTCTTTTATTCTATTTTGGTGTGGTGGAGACTGTGATTTCAAATAGTTCCATCACTTTGATGACCTTGAACACTTTGCAGACCCCATACATAGCTGTGTAAAAGTGATGGTAACAGTACCCTGAGTGTCCTTCCTGAGACAGGATGGCACAAAGGTGGGTAGAGGAACACTGGGTTCCCTCATTCACTCATGGTCTCACCTGCAGACCCATCCACTAGGCTCTGCACCATCTACTCAGGCACCAGTCCTTGTGTGTTCATTACCCCTCTTCCTGCCACCCACTCATTCATGTACCGTTCCCGCCTCCCCATCCTCCACCTGTCCATCCACCATTCACTCCCCCACACATCCCGCCAGCCATCCTTGAGTCTATCCACCCTTCCTCCGGTTGTTTCTTCCTTTTTTGAAAACCTTTATTCACAGCCATGAAGTTATGGAACAAACCTAAATGTTTGTCATCTGATGAATGGATACAGACAAATGTGGTCTGTGTATACTGTAGGATAATGAGGAGCCATGAAAATAATGCAATAATGCCTTTTGCAGTGACTTGGATGGGGCTAGAGGCTGTTATCCCAAGTGAAGTAACTCAGGAATGTTCAAATACTGAACATTCTCACTTATAAACTGGAGCTAAGCTGTGGCTGTGCAAGGCCATACCCAGTGGTAAAAGAGACATTGGAGACTCTGAGGAAGGGAGACAGGGAAGTGGGTGAGGAAGAGAAAACTACCTCCTGGGTGCAAAGTGTACTGTTTGGGTGACAGGTGCCTTACAGTCTGACTTCATCACTCTCCGGTACATCCACGTAACAAAATTCCACCTTGTATACTTGTAACCCCTATTGGTTGAAATTTTTTAAAAATCAAAACCTTTTTAAACAGTGTATTGCTCATCTTCCATGCTCCAGGTTGGAATCTGGGGTAACAGAACGAATCAGGCACATCCTGCTCTGTGGGACTTAGAACACAGCAGGAAATATGGTTATGTACAAGCCAGCTACTTCAGAGGGTGTGAGAGCCCCTCAGGGGCTCAGTGA